AGTTAGTTGGAATTCGAAAAAATAATTATTGTTGTTGCAAGAATCGGAAAAATCATTTAAAAAAATTGCAAAAATGCTAGTTTATTTGTAAATTTTTTTCAGACACTTGAATAATACCTAGGATCTTAATACTTTTTCTAATTAAACTTCTTAATGCATAGAATCATCACACCAAATTTCATCCAATTCGGTTCGATAGTTTTTACATAATAATTGTTTAATTTTTTAATTTTTTTAAATTAAAAAATTTTCAAAATCAAATTTCTAAAAATCTAAAGCCTTTGAATACTTGAAAATTTCACCACAAAAAGAAGAGCTCTCAAGCTTTAAAATGCTTTTTGAAAAATTCAAATCGGACGATTAGGTGAGCCGTGGTGATTGTTTAAACATTTTCGCAATTTTCACGCTTATAAACAATTGCAATAATTTAATGTTTTTTCAAATTTTTTTTTATTTTAAAATATGGTTTGAAAGTACTCGGAAAGGCGAGTATTTAAAAAAAAACCTGATGATCCGCCCATTATTTTCGGAGTTATAGCCCGTTAAAGTTAACCCTTATTTACAGCAAAACTATAAGGGCTGTTTTTTGAACCAATAGGTTTGTTATTCCGAGTACTTTCCAGATATAAATTTTCAAAATTTGCAATCACGGGCGTCCCATTTAAAATGTCACTCAAAGATATTCAAGACCGCGTGAAATCAATGAGGTATCAGTGGTGGGGGGAGCAAACACACAGCTACTCCGATCTGAATTCTCGAGTTCAAAATTGCGACACTCGGAAAAATTTCACTTATCTCAGCGTCTAATGGACCAATTTCGATGATTTTTTTTTAAATCGATGTCTCGCAACTAAAAAATTCAATTATCATATTTTCAACTACATTTTATTATTAATTATTGGACTTTTGACATGCCGATAAACAGTTACTTTAAAAAATGATTAATTTATTATGTTTATTTATTTACTGTTAATTTTCACGACCAAAATTTTTGCATGTTGCACCATGTTGTTGGTATTAATTAAGTATCCAAAAGATTCTTATACTTTTTTTATAAATAAAAAATAAATTTTAGATAAATATTTTAAAAGTAAACGAAAAAATTAAAATTATAATTATTCACAATTTATGTGAGTAATAATTTTTGAAAGACTTTTAGAAATTTATCGTACAACTAAAAATTAATACCAATTTTCAGTTGTTTATTTAAATAATTATTGTTTAAACAATTTTATAATATTTAAACAAACTTACTAGTATTACCAAAAATTTGAAAAAAACATTAAATTATTGCAATTGTTTATAAGCGTGAAAATTGCGAAAATGTTTAAACAATCACCACGGCTCACCTAATCGTCCGATTTGAATTTTTCAAAAAGCATTTTAAAGCTTGAGAGCTCTTCTTTTTGTGGTGAAATTTTCAAGTATTCAAAGGCTTTAGATTTTTAGAAATTTGATTTTGAAAATTTTTTAATTTAAAAAAAATAAAAAAAATTAAACAATTATTATGTAAAAACTATCGAACCGAATTGGATGAAATTTGGTGTGATGATTCTATGCACTAAGAAGTTTAATTGGGAAAAGTATGAAGATCCTAGGTATTATTCAAGTGTCTGAAAAAAATTGACAAATAAACTAGCAATTTTTGCAATTTTTTAAATGATTTTTCCGATTTTTGCAACAACATTAATTATGTTTTCGAATTGCAAATAACTCTATCTTGTTCAAAATTTAATTACAAAACTTTTTTCCTCTTCCATTTTTGTCTAAAATGAATAGTTGCTAAGTTGTCGACGAGAAATCCAAGAAAAAAATGATTTTTTTTGTTATTTTTTTATACTTTTTTGTAATAACAATTAAGCCCACGTTTTTTTTTATTTGCCTAGAAAAATTATCATTTCTGATGTTATTTAGAAGCCGTTAAAGCAAAAATCTCCGATCATATGCGTTTTACCCAAGTACACCCTTTGTAAGACAGATACCGCCTGGACTAAAAGAAATATGTCAATTTTTACGCAATGTTGCAATGCTTTTCGCAGTTACGTAGACTGGTTTTCTCTACGTCTGGAAATAATCATTGATAATTGTTGAATGAATTGGCTCACATAATGAAATTAACTACCAGATACTGCGTTATTGTTATTACTTAACCGATTATACTCAGTTATGCAATACAAGACGTTAGGAAGAGAGTGAAGAATTTCAAAAACAAAGAGTACTCAAAAAATATGTACCGGGTACTCCTTAGTTGGTCTAAAGGCATATCATCTAGAAAATCTGACATAACCGTTTACAAAATATTGAGATATCTGTCAGCATTTAAATTTTCTTCGTGGATATGGTAAGAAATTTGGTTATCTTTAATTAGACAGAAAACATTTACGCTAAATTTATTTTGAAAGTTTCCTATCCCGGATAACATGAAGATTCTCAGATGACCACAAATGAGTATTATGTCTATTAAAAATACCTTCTCTCGTAAATTTTGACCCGTCTGTCTATATGTATAATATGTTGCAAAAATTGTGGATCTTCTTGGTATCGCACTAATATAGTTTCACAAAATTGTACACATTCCACGGCGTCGCCCGGATGAAGAGCAGAAAGTAGCTTAAAGTATGAATGCATATCATTAGTTCTTAGCATCCTGTGAATGGCTCGTGAAATGCCTAAATCATACTATGCAGCACGAGTTGAGGATTCTGGATAAACATTAAAATGGGCTAGCACATTTATTACATTATCTTCATTTGAAGTTATTGGTTTTGGTAAAATTGTTTCTGCACAAATTCTACCATATTCTAGTTGATTTGTTGAAATTCTTCTTAACTTTTTTATGCGTTTCGTGCAACTCTCTCGGTTTCAAAAATACAATACTTATGTACGTTTTCAGCCAGGAAATTTGAATAATTTCAAATATTTCGAATTTTCACAATCAAGAACGGCGGTGACAACATTTTTAACATTAAGGCGATATTTCGTATTGTATGAGCTATGTCCTGTACAAATTTAGTTTCGTGCAACTCTCTCGATTTAAAAAATACAATACCTATGTACGTTTTCAGCCACGAAATTTGAATAATTCCAAATATTTCGAATTTTCACAACCAAGAACTGCGGTGACAACATTTTTAACATGTACATAAGGCGATGTTTCGCATTGTATTAGCTATGTCCTGTACAAAGTTAGTTTCGTGCAACAATTATTTTCAAAATATGTCGAAAATTAGTAATATAATGAGTTAATTTCTCATTTGCTTATATTTTAGACAATAAATAATATTTGAATTATACCTTAATCACAAAAGAAACGATGATTAAATTAATAAATTAATTATAAATAATCAATAATATTTTATTCATACATTAATAAATCAGGATTTAAAAAATGTATACAAATTGTTTTAAATTTATGAATCTATATTATATTTATTATTTATATGTACCTATAAAAATATATATTAAGAATTTATTTGAACTTTTTTACATGGGACTTCGTTTTCTTCTTCGATATTATATTCATCAACTTCTCTATCTTCAAACTCAAAATAATTATAATATATATAATTTCCGCGTTGTCTAACACCTCATTTTTCGAAAAATTAGACCGGATGTCCCAATACATTAAGTGTAAATTACAGTTAACTTTGATCGGTTATACCTTCGTAATTAATTGATCAATCAATCAGTTTTTTTTAAGAAGCGTCTTTCCAAGAACTTTTAAAACCTATTTTAAAAAATTTGATTATGTTGAATATTCACAAGTTATTCTAATTGTTTATAAGTACAAAAATTCGACCAATGTTTAAACAAGCGCCAGAGCTCTCCTAATTCACGGATTCGAATTTTTCAAAAAGCGTTTGAAAGCTTGAGAGCCCTTCTATATGTGATTAAATTTTCAAGTATGTAAGGGCCTTGGTTTTTGCTGTGCAAAATTTTGAAAACTTTCAAATTTTTTTTTCAAAATTCGGATTGCTAAATTATTATGCAAAATCCATAGAACCGATTTTGATGAAATGTGGTGTGATGATTCTACATAACATGAAGATTTCTTGAGCCAAGTTTAAAGGTCCTACACCCAATNGCGATTTTTTCGATTTTTACAATAATAATCATGATTCATTCGATTTGTAACTAGTCATATTTTGTAAAAAATTTAATTACAAACATTTTTTCCTCTTCCATTTTCGCTTAAAATCAACTCTTGAAAAGATACATAATTAAATAGGAAGAAAAATATGACATTTTTGGAATTTTTTAACATATTGTGCCGCCAAAAGTTAAGCCCACGTTTTTTTTTAAGCGCATAGAAAAATTTAATTTCTAGTAACATTTGAAAGCCAAAAAGCCAAAAATCTCCCTGGATATACGATTTATCCAAATATGGACCTTATGAAACAGATACCGTACGTCTCTGAATTGACAGATCTTGTCGGTCAGAAATTAAAAAAAAAAACGGAAAGTAATTTTGATCAAACGGAAGTAAATTTTAATACCTTTGGTAACAATTACGTGTGATGTTAATTAGGTGTATGTAACGAACTTTAAGGGGCAATTCTTTGACTGGGTTCAAGCCACAATGATTTAAATCTGAGTCCGAAAGTCAATTGTTTTCGAGATACGGAGTGTTGAAATAAGAACAATCGTCTATCTAATATATCGAAAATGGTTCGTTTTTCAATCTTTCTTCTTGGAAATACCACAAGGTATTATAAGTAGGTAGTGAACAGTTATAGCAAAACTTTCTACTTAGTGTGAGCATATTTCGTTTCGGTAAGAAGCCAACTCTCTTGGCGCGTATTTAATACAGATATTTTGCTACAGTTAGTATATTTTTACTAACCGTAGCAAAAAAAATCTCTCACCAAACTTTAGGTAGTAGCAAGTTTTGAGTTGCTCGATCCACAGGATCCATACTTTCAGGAAAGAATTTTTATTGAGAAGTAGTAGTATACACATTGTTAAAACAGTATAATGAATAAAATATTGATGGGATAAAACTTTTATTGTGTATACTTTTATAAAATACAAATTTTTACATTGGAAGTTATGTTAGAAAACGGTTATTTGAATGTAAAAAAGCTGTCGTTGTAGAAAAAAATATTGAAACAAAGTTTGCTTACATCTAATTAGGCACATAGCTAAGTTTTGTACTCAAATTTGGCATTAACGAGGTAATCACTTTCTTCTCTTCATCATCTTCTGACCAACTGTTCTCTGATAATTATTGAATAAAAACGTAAAGCTGATTTGTAAGCTTAGTAAATAGCGTTAGTAAATATAATTCCCACTATATTAAATAATTCACGTAGAAATTTATACCGGGAATGAACTTCTAGGAGGCCAACGCCATCTGTCTCTTCACTCGATCTTTCTTCTTCCTCTTCGGCGATTGGCAAGCGTCTTCATAGGACGGTGGTGCTGCAACAGACCTAGAAGAGCTTTGTTTCGGCTGAGCAACACGTTCCCTTTCCTCATCTGTTATTTCAGCATCGTCTTCATTCGAATCTATGAAGAGTAGATCTTCAATCTCTTCTATTCTCGCTATGGGGGCAGATTTAATATCAGACAGTTGAGGAGCTGAAGGCTGTGCGTGTTCTTTCAAAGGATTCTTTGAAAGAGACGTCGGCACTGCGAATCCAATCGATCCGCAAGGGATAGAAGATTGGTCTGTAGGCATAGGCATGGGCGTGAACTCTGCGAACCCAACAGTCGAGTGAGGAGCTGGCTTTTCTGGAGGGTATGGAGCAATGTTTCCAAACGCAGGGGAAGAAAATTCGGTAACGTTTGAGGTATCAGTAATGGGATAAGGAGGCTGCATCTTGCTCGGATAAGGAAGACCGTCCCCTTCAAACGAACCAAAAGATTGTGAAGGCATAGAAGGCATAGGCATTTTTTGAGGTAATTCGGAAGCATCACTAATTGACTCGTGTAGTAACGGCGTTTTCTCCTCGATTTCCCTTGGATAGGGCAGAGAATTTTCTTCGAATGAAGTACGAATTGAACTTGAAGGCACTTTTATTTTATTATACCCTTGAGTACCCTTCTTAGAATATAAAGGACTTACTTGGAATTTTATTTCCGTCCGATAAGGATAAGTTTTCTCATTAGAACGAGACATGTCAACTAACCTGTCATCATTAAATTCTTTTTTAAGGTAAGGAGGATCACCAACTGTTGAAGAAGTTTGACTTTTCTTTGTTGGATAAGGGCAGGTGCTTCCACTGGGGTATGGTGAAGATGAAGGCTTATCTTCTTTGGGATAAGGACAGTAACTATCTGGTGGGTAAGGGAGATTTCCTTCCTTTGAAAGGTAGGGAAGGGTTTTTGCATCTGGAATCAGTACTTCAACACTAGATGGAAGGTTATCGTGTTTGGGATAAGGACAGACATCGCTTCGGGGGTAAGGAAGATTTATTTCATTTGCTTCTGGTATTAGTTCCTTTTCGTATGATGAAGATGAGGGCTTATCTTCTTTGGGATAAGTACAGTAATTATCTGGTGGGTAAGGCAGATTTCCTTCTTTTGAAAAGTAGGGAAGGGTTTTTGCATCTGTAATCAGTACTTCTTCAACACTAGATGGAAGGTTATCGTGTTTGGGATAAGGACAGACATCGCTTCGGGGGTAAGGAAGATTTATTTCATTTGCTTCTGGTATTAGTTCCTTTTCGTATGATGAAGATGAGGGCTTATCTTCTTTGGGATAAGTACAGTAATTATCTGGTGGGTAAGGCAGATTTCCTTCTTTTGAAAAGTAGGGAAGGGTTTTTGCACCTGTATTCAGTACTTCTTCAACACTAGATGGAAGGTTATCGTGTTTGGGATAAGGACAGACATCGCTTCGGGGGTAAGGAAGATTTCTTTCCTTTGCTTCTGGTATCAGTTCCTTTTCAACGTTAGATGAAAGGTTACCTTCTTTGGGGTAAGGACAGTCACCTCTTAGAGGGTATGGAGGAGATTTCGTTGCTTCGGGCACCGATATTTTCTCAGCAGTAAATTGCGGGTTATCTTCTTTGGGATAAGGACAGTAATCACTTGGGGGGTAAGGCAGATTTTTTTCTCTTGGAAGGTGTGGGGAAAATCTCTTTGCTTCAGATGCTGGTACCTGTTCAGCATCGAAGAATTGTTCTGTTGGGTAAGGCGGTACTAGTTTTGGGCGGTTCTTAAGCTGTTCCGTTGAGCTTCTGGGACTGCTACGAGCTGGAGGATATAAAATTGGCACTCGTGTCGGTAGGTCGGGAAAATTCATTTTTGAAGCATCAATAGACGGATTGCTCATGATACCGTAAGGGAGTGGGCAAATTTTCACAGAATCTGAAACGAGAAATACAAAATTTATCCATTATTATTTTAGGAAACTAATTTTCTATTAAAAAAATTGTAACTTTACACAAATTCGGTGAGTTTCCCGCATTTTTGTGGTTAAACGAAACACAAAAAATTGAATAGCGACAAAAGGTTTCCAATGCAATTTTACAGGACCACTTGATAGTTTTTTTTCATTTAAACAAGCTATTAGTAACTTCGGTATTCCAGAAGAGACATAAAAATTCATCTACCTACCTTGCGTATATTTAGAGACTCCTTCATCTGAATAGTGTCCGATAATTAACTCAACTTCTGTTGTTAATTTAGGCTTTGTAGAATCCTTAAATATTGCTGTGACCTAGAAACAGAAGAGCAGATATTGACATAGCGGCATTAAGAGCAAATCAAAATTGCAATTTTGATAACGAAAAATAAGCGACCAGGACAATCTCTCTATTTTGGCAACTTAAAATATCAAGTTTTAAATACCTGCAAAATTTCTTTCCGCGTCAAAAGAGTACAGTTCTGAAAATTCGGAATTTCGGCGGAGTCTGGTATCTTCAACTGTAACGAATATTTCTTTGTCCTGTAGTGACGGAACTCAGGGCCTTTATCTTCCGTCAGCAATTGACATAAAGTCAGAAATCGATGAAACGGTGGAGATACCTTCGCTATAACTTTCTGAAATGTATTATTCGTTAGTACTACGATAAGCATTCTCATGGTGGCACAATCAAAAGCTTGTAATTTTCTTAGGATAAAGTTATGTGCCGTACTACTGTGAGTATTGACAGATAGGGGAAACTGTAAAAGGATTGAAGATGCTGAAGATGATAATCTGCATTTTAATCTTTTGCATACAATTAATTTATACAGGGTGGCCAAATGAAAACGAAACAGAGCCATTTTCAGGAACTGCGTCAAGATTGTAGAAAAACGCTCAGACCCGTCGATTTTAGATTGCTCAGACCCAAAATATTTGAATGGCATTGGAGGTTGAGTAATATTTCTTTTGAAAGCTCTTAATTCTCTTTACAGCAGACTTTAAATTTTATAATTCCGCCCACTCGTCCGCCCAATACGTTGAAAAAAATTTACATTTTAAAATTTAAACTATGTTTCGTTGCTTACTTACTACTTAGTTGATTAAATGTTCAAACTGATGACCGTCCGCTTCCATACAAGAATAAAAATTTTGTTCGAAACGTTCGCGCACATTCCGAAGCATTTCCGGAGTGATTCGACGGCATTCGTCGACGATTCTTTGACGCAAATCTTCCAGCGACGCTGGCTGTGTTTTATAGATTTTACTTTTTAGGTATCCCCACAAAAAGAAATCAAGGGGCGATAAATCCGGTGATCGTGGAGGCCACTCAATGCTGCCTCTTCTCCCAATCCAATTCCGTAGAAAACGTTGGTCCAAATACTGACGGACATTTAACGTATAATGCGGAGGAACACCGTTCTGTTGAAAAATCAAATGATCTTCATCATGCTTTGGAACATTTTCAATAATATCAGTCAAGGCAGGGTCAATAGCGTTTTCCAGTAATTGCAAATACATTTGGCCAGTCAAATTACCAGGTAGAAAAAAAGGACCCACCAGCCGGTCACCGAAAATTCCAGCCCATACATTTAATTTTTCCGGTTGCTGTGTATGCACCTCGTGAAAAACTCTTGGGTTTGAATC